AACTCTATTTCTATTCCTTTACGAATATCTTCCAAGTATCCCTATTACTATTTTGGATACCTTTTCCCGAATGAAAATCATTCCAAGTATTCTGAAAAACTCGAAAGGTTATACTTTTCTACAATTTAATGAGTTCCAAAAGAATTGCTTAAAAAAAAAAAAAAAAAAAAAAATGGGGATACTTTCTTGCAATTAATATCTACAAGTGTAAGAACAAGTTAAGAATATAAGATTTTATAAGCGATAACGATTTCTAAAGATTTTTAATGCTAGGATATCTCGTAAGTAGAACAAAGATTTTCTGAAAGGAAAACTGAAAAATGTACGTGCAAGGAATATAGACAATCTGTATTAATATTTGCGATAAGCACGAACACACAATCGTACATTTAGATCTTCCTTAAAATGAAAAAGAATCGAACTGATTCATAATTTCGTGGCAACGATTTTTTTTTCCAAGTTCGCGAGCAAGATAAGCAATGGGAAAAAAGGGATGGGGATCAATAACATCGTCGAATCGGATAACGAAAGCCGTATTCGCTCGTAGCGTGACAGAAGAGAAAGAAGAAGAGAGGTAGGTAGAAGGAGATGATCCTTAAGAATAATTCCACTCGACACCGAATTCTCATTATCGACGATTTAGCCGACCGTTCGAGCATCCGGACGAAGCTCTTATATATCCTTCGACACTTATTCAACCTTGCGCCTTCTCTCGTCTTATTCTTTGCGAAGAAAAACGCATTCTTCGTTATTTTGCAGGATATCAAATCGGTGATAGAAGAAAAGAGAAAATAATTCTCTTCTGTGAGATTATACGGTACCTAATCTTGGAGAAAAATTAAATCTAAAATGTTCAATACTTATTTATTCTTATATTTTTTAACGAAAGACAATTATTAAATTGAAAATAATAAGATATGAAATGACATTTATTAAATTAAACGAATTACGCGTTAGATGTGAAAATTTCATTTCGAATTTCTTAATAGCAGCACTGCTGAATTTATCGACCAAAAATAAAAATTTCGAAATAAAATGGTTGAGGGTTGAACCTTAGCAGTTACTTACCGAAAAGGCTTTAAGAAAGACGAGGCACTGAATGATACCCTCCATCGTGTCTCCGGTCAAACAGAAGGTGCCGGTAAGGTGTCGACCCTTACGACCGATCACAGAGCAGAGATTGGCCTGTACAAAGGCGTTTTGCGATCGCGTGGCTGCCGTAAGGGATGGATGGTGAGAACCAGCGCTCATTAGTCGTTCCAGCGAGTCCATTTCTCTTATTCCCTTTTTACGTATCTTCTTTTGGATCACTTCGGATCGCGAAAATCACGCGAGTGATCCTTATTTCGTCCTCGATGATAATTAAATAAATTATTTATTTTAACGACACTTATAATTGAAATACATATATCTTATGAAGAACGCAGTAATCCTTATAATAATATATATATATATGTTTTTCACAAAAATTCTTCTTTCACTTATCGCGTAAAGTCAACAAATTTAATCTAGCCATAGCATAAACGTCGTTCAAACATGCAACAGAGTCGAACACTATCCTGAATATCAAATTTTATGACGCTGACACGCGTACGTGAGTACGCACACCCTCCAAAGGATATCATAAAATATGTTTACGTTCATAGATATCGTTGGACAGACAGAGGAAGAAAGATAGCGAAAAGTGGAACTTCCTTGTTGCACTCGATGAGTTCCTATGATCAATGCGACGGTCTTTATGGCTCTTGGCTAGCAAAACGCAAACGGTCGTAAAGAAAACTGATTCCTTTGTTACGCCGCCGGCAAATACCATCGACTTTCACACATTTTACATTCACTTCTTATAAACTTCGTTGACCAAGTGTAATTTTTGATTCGAACAGTGATCAAAGTTCAATAATAACATTCTTTTATGATTGGAATTAGAATTTGTTCATATAGTGAAGTCGTTGATTCAGAGACTGATAGAATTATAGATCCGAAATGCAAAATATTAATCGAATTAATATCCGGAGATAGAATAGATCTTATCAGGATTGAAATCGAATCTTGAATAAATGAAGACTGATCTGATCTTCTTCCATGCGTCATAACCGTAATATGTTGTACCTATCGAAAGATGCAATCCCGTCGGATGTGAAAGATAAAAATCAACGTTTAATTAAAAGACAAATTTTCGGATTCTCTGATCTATCGTGGACAGCAGGTTGCCGAAGGATTTTGTATTTTTCGTGAAATGGAAAAAATCCTTTGAGGTGGTGGTGGTGCCGCGGGAGATTCGACCGATCGATGAAGATCCGTTTGTTGTGGCGTGGCGTAACGCCTGATCAAGTCGCACATCTCGTAACAGAAAAAGAAAATGCCGATAATTAAGAAAGTATCCATTCTAACTATGATCTTTGGTTATTCGTATATCAGTCTTTCGTCCTCAAGTCTTCGAGGAATATGAAATGTAAACGACCACTTGTTTCCACGTTGAGAAAAAGCCTCGTACAAGATATAAGTCGATTATTTTATCGTTTTTCACCAAGTCTTGACCTTTCCTAAGGTATTACATGTAAGAGCTGGACAACATGTTTGACATTATCCTCATCTACGTTCAATATCTTCTAACATTAGTTTAAATGTCCTTTAATTCTATATTTAACAACGACGACACAGTTATTCTTTAGTTAAACTGACCCAACACAAAGGGAACACGTACACCCACGAATAAGTCCTCTCACGTAACAGTCGCGCTATTTAGAAATATATCCGTAGAAGTTGATCTTGTACTTCAGGCGCGAGTAAAACTCGCAACTGAAACGAGAAGCATGAAACGACGACAAGAGGGAGCCACGACGACTGAAGGCAGTAGTGGATCGGGGAACAAAACAGAGACCATGTGAGAATCTGACGAGATCTAAATGCAGTTTCAAAAATAACGGCAATATTTCATTTCTTGAGCATTGAGCTTTCACAGGTTATAAAAATCATCAATAATAATAGTAGTAGTAGTAGTATTATTAATAAAGTAGTAGCAGTAGTAGTAGTAGTAGTAGAGAGAAAAAAAGTTATCATTCAATCGATGGATGCATAAATGACGAATAATACACTATCGATTTTCTCTCAAACTTAATCGAGATTTTATGCTCGAAAAATGTTTTGCAATGTGACGAAAATAAATAATTAAATAAATAAATAAATGAAATAAAATAACGAGGACGATTTAACACTAAGGGATATTGAAAATAATATAACTTGATTTGTATAATTAGTTAACGGAACGTATGATTGTAGGAAAATGATCAGCTTGCGATCGGAACGTCGAGCTCGGACGACGAAAGCGGACACGCGGAGCCGTATCAGCGTGCTCGCAACGGGCCGACGTATGACTAGCAGATACTCTCTCAGTGCTAGGGTACGCCTTTAGAAGGGTGGCCGGGTGGGAAACGAGGGATGCTGGGCGACGGCGCGGCCTGCGGCGCCACCCCCAACCACGTCCCCGATATCCCGATCTCGTCTCTCTTCTCTTCTCTTCTCTTCTCATTCTCTTTCCACCATTCCTATCTTTCTCTCTCTCTTTCTTCTCTATACTACCACCACCATTACCACTACCACTACCATTACTACTACCACTACCCTACCACTCCCACCATCACCACCACTACTACTAGCATCGCCAACAGCTATAGCAACGCCACTACTACTACTCCCAAAAGATTCTTATTTGTGATGCTTTTTTCGTTTCTACGATTCTACGTCTACATCTGTTTGTTTGCGCGCGCGTGCACTATCTATCGGTACCTCTTCTTCTCTTCTCTTCTCTTCTCTTCACTTTTCTTCTTTCTTTCATTCTTTTTTTCTTTACTTCTTTCCTTCCTATCAACCTTCTTACTCTATTTCTTCTATCGTTTGGTGCATCCATACTTTATTCTTCTTTGCGGAATTCTTTGACTCCTCAAGCACACGGAATCGTGATGCGCTAACGACTCAAAAGGGAACTATCTCTCTCTCTCTCTCTCATCCTTGCCTTTTTTTCCTTTTCTTTTCTTTACTTTACCTTTTTATCCTATATCTTCTTTATTTGTCTCTTTTTACTTGTTCTTTACAGATACAACCGATGACCTATCCAACAGATGCTAACTCGTCTCACACAATTCAATCTTTTACATCTTTTGTCATGCCGAAATATTATCGAAATATTGCGATAACTTTTGTCGATACTTACTTATTTCTTGTCTTCCTTCTATTCTCATTCTTTACGATCGAAATCAAGATCATTTGTGGCTGTTGTATTACTTCCAACTTGTTTTTATAATCCTGTTATATGAATATAATTCATGATATTTTACTTAAGAACATATATTTTCTATTTCCTTGTCAAAAACCGCTTGGTATTGTAGCCAATGTCTAGGCCAAGCTCACATTCCCTGAAAACCCTACTCTCCCTATATATATAATTGATAATAATAACAAAGAGATTTTTGTCGAAGCTTCGATATGATTATCGATTAATTAAGTCTATTATAAGGATACTTTTATCTTGAGCTTCGCTATAATCAATAAACACAAATTGAATGTTTCAAACGGATCATACTACCAATGAAATCCATTGCTAGTATCAATATTGATCCTTTTCATCATAGGGAAGGTACTCTTTGAAAGATAATGATTTACTAATGGCCTTAAGCGGATTAAGGGAGACTCATTAAGAACATTTTGCGATATAATCAGGAAAGATTTTCGACAAGGAAAGTTTCTATCTAAAAAATAAATAGAATTAACTTTCCGTATAACGAGCATAATTCATAATCAATTGAATTATATGAAAATGATATACACTGAATCGAACGTTTATTTTTATTTTCTTATTTTTACGAGCTCCACAACGAAACTCTCAAAGGAATAACGAGCATATTCTGTAATCAGGGCGATAAAAAAAATGAAATAGACGGAGAGACAAAGAGAGAGATAGAGAGAGAGAGAAAAAAAATTAATACTCAACGATTTCACGACAAAGGGAAGTTCCCCTTGTAAGATGTAACATTACACAGCGGTCACTATTTTTCATTAAAAACTTTCCTATAGACTTCATAAACTTTACCATAATCTAAAGGAAAAGTCGAACAATTAAACGTTCCGCTGCATGCAATGTCACGTTATATTATACATTTAACGGTTAAACGCCCCTTATGGTAGGAAACATTACAGCGCACACCATCAAAGATTGACCGGTGTTTTGCTCTTCCTCAAGCTTACATATACAAACACGCACGCACACACGCATACAAGGAAGGCGACACAGAACACGCGCGCGTACGCACCTTAGATCCTTGAGCAACTGTACGTTACTTGGAGAAAGCTAATTTCGAAAGTGCATCGTCGAGAAACTGAGAGAAAAAGAGAAAAAGAGGAACTAGATCAAGGAAAGGAACTTTAACATGACCATTTAATAGCAGTTTCCCAACTTTTCTCTTTCGAGTATCCTAATGACGGAAAGATTTTATGCTCCTCGAAAGGGAGACGATGTGGAAGAAAAGAGAAGAAAATACCGACTTGCTTTCCCTCTACTTTGTTTCCGATACTACCTACAGAAGAGTTTTCTTCCTGAGTTTCTCAATGTTTCCGTTTTCTACAATTTCGAATCTCTTTTTAAATTGAAACTAACGATTTCTCTCTCTCTCTCTCTCTCTCTCTCTCTCTCTCTCTCTCTCTCAACTTTATCATTTATTATATGACATATTTTTCAAGATATTATCCTATGTGTATATATTAAACATTTTCATTCGATTAACTTACTCAAATCACTAAAAGATATAAATTGAATCAATAATTGAGTACTCTAAGTCGGGGAAAAGAAAAAGAAAAAGAAATATCGACTATTATCATCAGCAAGAATTTCATCGGATAGATGTAGTTAGCTTTAGTAATCGCATGTAGGCTGGGGAGGATGTTAGAACCGGTAAGCCGATAATTGATGCCTGTTCGACTTAGATAAGGTCTCTACACCATCTAGTTCAGTCTTACTCTAAGAAACTTCCAGTTAATTACTCCGTATTGCTCGACCATACGATTACACTATACTTTTTCCATTTCAAACCAATAACCTTTGGAGAAAATGAACGAGTTCTCGAACGGTCAGCGAAATTATTATCACGTAACGAACATGACTTAACCCTAGAACTACTAACTGGGATAGGATATCTATACCCCAGGTAAACTTAAATTAAATGAAGATTTCATCGTTTTTCAGTACTTTAATTTATTTAAATCGATTTTTCACCGATTAAACTTTAGTCAAATTGAATTTGCTCTTCACCATTCTCTTTGACATGAAAAAACAAAAAATCTGATTATTGCTATCAGAAGAGTTTTTAGGACTAGAAAACCTTGGGAAAAAATATATACCCCATTTTGTAGTTTGAAGATTAAAAAAATTAGTTTGTAGTTCTAGGGTTAAACCTTCATTGTAGTTTGTCTTTATTTCTTCTATTTATTATAGTGCAATACAATTAATAGGAAGAATTATTTTATTTAATAATCAAATAGTTATCTGTTTAAATACAGGATAAATATGGAGAGGTTAGTACAATCGAGCGAGGGGTGATTTCTATATGCTTTACTTCACAGAAAATTTTGTATTTTTTTTTTTACGATTCTCGTGAACGCAAATATATAATTGACTTAAACAATATAAATCGTGCAATAAATCTTATTCTCTTATTAAATAATTTCATTCAAATCATTGCACTTCAAATAACGTAATGATTTTCATTTTATCGTTCGGATAATCTTTATACGTAGAATTCGTAGGTTGATCCAGTACCACATAAATGCGTGCAGATAATTATGGAGACAAAGGCTTACACCACGGATCAATAGAAAGCCGTGTAGATAAATTAATCGGTCCATATAGTTGAACATATATCTTCATTGATTCTATCTATATTTAAACAAATTTCGCTTGTTAACGAAAAAATAGGAAGGAACAGATATGATTTATGTTATTTAAATGAAATCATATATTTTTTAATAGATACAATGAATATAACCTAGAATAGCATAGGAATTAATCAATTTTCCTGGTTGCTCGAATTTCTAATGATATCGATTAGAAAGAAAAAAATAAAAAAAAAATAGAAAAAAAGGAGGGGAAAAAAGTGAAAGAAATTCAAATATTAGCGCAACGTTCTTCAATTTCCTATCCAAGCGTTACAATTCCATCCATATCAAATCTATTATTTCTGCCAAATATAGTGCACCCTTTTTTTATACGTTCACATAGTTGTGTATATATATACAAAAAAAAAAATATATATATATATATATATATATATATAGATATGTAAAACGTATCCCTCTCTTCGTATCGAACATATATATATATATATATTTAATATAATATATATTTAAAATATATATATATAGTAATGTATGAAACACACACACACACAAACACATGTGTTCGCATACAATAAAATATAGGCTTGCTTCCAATAGGCGCATTTTTAATGCGAACGTTTCCAAGTTGGCGCAAATATTTACGAGTCTAGTCTACTCGTAAACAATGAAACCCGAGGGATTGCATGGCGTATGAAAAGACTGATCACTTAAAAGATCTCCCCAGGTAGCAGAAAAATATGTCAGTTTCACCGTAGCTACGTTGTATATATGCTCGCATATTTCTTTACGTTTTTCTTCAAGTTTGTTTCAGATACAATAGTGCACGTACATTCCAAGCTTCCAAGAGATATAGCAATGACGTATTTGAACAAAAGCTTCTCAAAGAGACGTTCCTAAATTGGATATCTTGCAAAATCGACCGTTCCTTGTCGAAAAGAACGAAAGTAGAGAAAAACAAAACGAAAAAAGAAAAATCATCTAGGGAAATTTCAAATTATCGAGTTCAACTGTAGATTTACGAATCGAATTCAATAATATTCAAAGGAAAAATTCGATTGTTTATTAGGCCAAGTTATGTCAAAGTCTATCAACCCTCGAAAAGAGAACTCATAAAACAATAATTAAATTATACAATTGTTATAATTACCAAGCTATAATATACCATTTTAGTCTTATTATTGTCCTTTTTATAATGTTAAGTTTATTAATCATTATTAATCATAAAGAAATTAACAAACTGGATAGAAACAAAAGTTGCTTCATTTTCAATATAAATCTTCGAATTATATTAATTCGATTTCAGATAATTAAGGATTGGTAACTGACTTTATGTAAGGCATAAGTCGGCATAATTATCTCTATAATTTAAACAAATTTTCGATAAATTACGAGAAAAAGCACAAATGGTTTTCAATCGACTGCATAATGATATCGTACAAACGATAAACCATTCTGAAGGAAAAGAATGAGCAACCACTTAAATAGAAAAAAAGATAGAAAAAAAAAGAGAAAGAGATAATAATACAAAGAAAGAGAGAAAAAGAGATAGAAATAGAATCTCATCTAACGGATCTCATTAGCCATAGCATACACAAACTCGATTAACGGACGCACTTAACGAAGTCGATGATTAC